CCCGCACTACAAACTCCTCCTTCGCAGCCAGGGTCTCATTCCTCGGTTCATCAAATGCGCGATGCGTCACTTGGTCGCCCTCTTCCGGCGTGCCGGAGCCTCAGCCTCTGAGGCCACCACCGGAAAGTCACCGTCGGTGAGGAGTGGCCCTGCCTGCATTCTTGGGCCACACGACGTCACGTCAGACACTCCGCGCCAAGAGCCGCACAGTAGATCTGCATCGACCACCCAGGCATGCCGACCTTCACGCACAACTCAGGCAATCGTCTCAACGGCTCAATTGACGCCTTCACCACCTCCCATGCCAAACAGACTCAGGTCCGCGTACATGCAGCACCTCATTTTGACAATGGCAGAATGTCAAATTAGCCAGTCATGCTTCCCCATATCCTTGGCGGCAACATTTTCTTTCATTCATGGGCAAATCGACTTTTTGAGAATTGTCTACACGGCACTCTGCAAGGACAGCCCGCCCTGCACAGCTCTCGAGCGCCATTGACAGGTTTGAGGCCAGCACTCATTTTCGGAGGACCACGGAAAGAATCGAACCTGTCGCTATCAGCTCACGAGGGAATCAGCTCCGCGAGGCCTGCTCCGGCGATACCTTACCACCAGAGACCTTCCCGAAGGAGAACACAAATGCCTGCGCTGAGATCATTCGAAGCTGATAACATATCGCAGCCGTAGCAAGTCACTACAAGTCACTGCGCACACCTAGGCCGGCCCTGCCACGCCTCTCCCGAACCATAGAACCTCCATTGCACTGAAGTCTGGGCCAAGCACATCGGAGCCCGACAGCCTCGCGCAAGGCTCCCAGGCTGAGGTTGCGAAGCCTCCGAAGATGAAGTCCTGACGCCGCAATCTTTTGTTAGCTGGGCACCATCCTGGGTTTGCCACCTCGGTATCTTGAATGATGACCACAGTCTTCTCCCGCCTTCAGCGCGCGTGATCGCTTGGCTCCAGAGTGGGACGCAAGTAGGCTCTCTTTTGAACCGCACCACTGCTATTGTTGAAGCATGTCTCTGCAAGTGTTGTCTAGCAATGTCAGGGCCCAACTCAGCCATATTGCGGTACATGGTGTGGAGAGACACGCCGTGAGCCTCAATCGTGTTTCTGCGCATTCCGCCGTGCCGTGATCTTGCCAGCCTTGGGAGTGTAGCTCAGCACCCACTCAACAAGGCCAGGAAGTCGAACGCCAACCGGTAGGTAGTCCAGCAATGCTTCCTTCACAAGAGCATGCTGCATGGCTTGAGCAAGCCACATCGAATACGAATGCGCCACATTATGAGCCCATTGAAATGATTTCTTTTCTTGCTTGTGCTTTCAGCAACATCCAAACGGATCTCTCCAGCTTGACCCGTTCCATCGCTTTCATGCAGCCAGTGCTCTGCCATGTCTTTGGTCATGAGGGACCGCTCGCAGTTTTCAGGCAGTCGCAGCACAACCTAGCGGTAAAGACACAGTTCTGCAGCATTTGAACTGCTACATTTTCTTGAAATAGAGCGGGGAACTGTCGAAATGAACTTTGCACAGTTTTCCATGAGTTAGCCCTGCACTTTGAGGTCCTTCACAACCATGGTCACTTGGCAAGCATCAGCCATTCCAATCGCCTTCTCCACATGAAGTGGCGAGCTCGGTGAGCCTTACTCATGAAAAATATTGAGAACGTCTCAAATTGAATCAATGAAATGTACAATGAACAAATGAACATCTCAATAATCTGAAATGCAGAACAAATGGCTACCCAAATGGCTGCGGCTCAAAAAACCGGTACCAAAATGGAACCCTAGCATGGAAACCAAAACCTGCGGTTTGCCCCTCCTGCTTAATTTTGAGCCACAGCCAAATGAATCAATTGCCAAGGTCCGGGCTGGCTTCGCTGCGGCATTCCTCGCGCTTTTCCAGCTTTGGGCTTTTTGCCTCGCTCGGCCTGCAAGCTTGGGTGCTCGTGTTTGATTCAAGCGGAGACTCACAAACCGCAGTCTCAAAACTATGCACTCCCTTGTATCCAATTGGCCATGGGTCAAACCCCCGTACCCCCAGTGAACATCCCAATCCCCACTAAAATAGGCCTAAAATGGGTGGTGAAATGCCAGCCGTCTTGAGATATTCCCATCCGACGCTTTTTGCGCACCCTGAGAGGAACTTCGCAAAGCTTGCCACACTCCCTGCGATGAGCCGCGCTGCTGAAGAGGCAGCCTTGTCCTGAGGAGATCTGTGGCACGGGATGGCTGAAAAGATAGGCATGCAAATGGCTGTGGCTCAAAAACCGGTACCCAAAATGGAACCCTGGTAAGTGGAAACATGGACCAAAACCTGCGTAACCCCTCCTGCTTAATTTTTAGCCACACCCAAATCAGTCCTTGTCCAGTTGGCGTTGCAGCTGATTTTGATGAATGGCATGCTGCAGGGAGGCACAAGTCACAATGTAATCATGCAATCAGGTTTAACGCCAAATCAGTGCACCTCAAGCTCCGCCATGCAGTCCAAGCCTGAGCCAGGCACGTCGACAAGCAACTGCTAAGTACGTGGGCCAACCAATTGTTTGGCGCTGCTCCAAAATGGAAAAGCTTCCTGTTCCTCACCCGGGGACCGTACAGGGAAAGGGCACCGACGTCTTTGTCGATGCTGGGATCCTGGAAGATTCCTCGCGCAAGGAGTGAGACATTTGCTTTGCACTGCTTTGCCTCACCTGCTTGGAATCCAGAAGGAGCGAGGTTACCTTGGTACCCCGGGCAGAAAACTCTTTTCTCAAATCCGATGGTTCCACGCAGTGCAGCTTTGTCTTTTTGAGCCATCTACACTGTGTAGATCATCTCTCCCCACGAGCCTGAAGACGAGGAAATACGGATCCTCCACGTCCTCAGGCAGGTGTGATTGGGCATAGACATCTGACAGCGCCAGTCATTCATGCAGGCTCCTCTGCACTTCTGAAGTCATGCCCGTTCAAGGTCCTGGCTGGTAAAGTGAGTTCAAGCTCAACAGGTCTTCCAACGATATGCAGTCCGTCAGATCAAAGCACTCCACAGAAACTTCGAAGTGATCAGGCAGCCCAACAAAGTTAAGGATCTGAATAGACAGGGACGCTAACCCGAATGGAGCCCCATGGGTCCACGGGTCCTGATCTGCAGCTGTAAGAAGAACGCCAAGTCGCTGCCATCCTCGACATATTTTAATGACAAATGTTTGTGTCTCGCAAACATGGAAGGTCTCTGGGGCAGCTTGCAGAAGGAAAATGTGCTGGATTAGTCTTGACATCCCGAATTAACAGGTCTTCAACGGCCTGCATCGGCATAGTGATGCCGCCACATTGGAGCATATCCTGCACCTCAAGAGGTGGAAACACTCCGAACGTTTCTTGTGGACTACCTCTCGCCAACTGAGGCAAGCAGGTGCAGATCTTCCAAAGCTTGACAACTTTTGTCGATCACGATTTGCTCGATTTGGCCATGGATCAAATTTCGTACCCCCAGTGAACATCCCAATCCCCACTAAAATAGACTAAAATGGGTGGTGCACCTATCCCAAAATGGTACCATTGGTTTTGACCCACAGCCATTTGAGCGACTCTATAAACCTCCCATGAATCCCTATGTCGTATCAAGTTGCTTACGCGCAAGCTTGCGCTTTCCTTACGCGACCCATGTTTTAGCTTACGCGGCAGTCAGACAGCATGTAAAGCTTACGCATCGCTTACGCGTCGGCGTTTTGAGCGTTTCCCCTCAAGAATTGCTTACGCGGGCTTCTTTTCCCGTGCAGCCGCCAGAGCTGTCCAAGATGATGTGGATGACTGTGTGGCAGAGATGACGAAGAACTGCGCTCGCGAGCTTGAGCAGCTTGGCGTTGTTGTTTTTGCTGCAAATCAAGAAACCGGTTTTTGCGGTAGCGGCATCCATCACGACGGCTAGCGGGCAGCTGAGCTAGGCGAGCTTACGCGAACCTTACGCGCCTGCTTACGCGAGCTTACGCGCCCGCGCCCCTGTAGTTTTCCTAAATCAGCGGCTACTGAAGCCTTTGTTTGTCCTAGTGGAGGTTGCGACAGCACCTAGCATGAGCCCCAAGAGCTCCCAATCAAAGTTATGCTTGTTGTTTTTTCCCCTAATGGTGCGCACATGCGGTCTTAGACGTCTTCTTGCAGGCAAAGTCCTCCGGGCAAGTTGCCAAGCTCGGCTAGGTTGCAACAGCACAAGCCACCAAAAAACGCATAAGCACATGTGGGACAACTCTTCCGAGCATGCTTACAAAGCTTACCAAGCAATCACGAAGAAGAGCTTACGCAGGTGCTTACGCAACATGTTTCCCCAAAAAGTGCTTACGCCCGCTTACGCCGTGCAGGCTTTTGCTTACGCGGGGCCTTGTTATGACACAACTCTTGCTTGGCATGTAACGGGGGGTTTTTAGAGCTGCTCATTTGTTTAGAGCTGCTCTCGAGAAAAAGCATGGCCCGCACAGTGTCGGTATTCCTGACCGAAGCAGCCAATGTCACGCCTCCAATGTCACGGTGTAGAGGTCACATCCAAACCTCAGCGCATCGCGCCCTCCAAACCCTTTGCCCGAAGAGGTCAGGCTCCTGCTCTTTCACATGCTTGTCCCTGGCATCCGGTGCGAAGGTCATCAGCAAGGGAGAGACCTCGCATTGTGAAGCTGTGCCTGCCTCAAGAACTCCATGCAAAGCCTCTGGCAGAAAGGTTGCCAGGCACCTTTATGTGAGGGGTGCAGTAGAAAGCGGGCAGCCTCATAGGCAACATTTATACAGTGCCACACACTGACAAGCTGTTGCGCCTAAGTGGCGCATCCGGATCTCCCCTAGCTGCATGCCGCGTTTCGACAAAGTCGTTGCAAAGGAACGGTCAAAGGAACGGTCAAAGTTGTGCCAGCCTCGACTTAGGCGAGAAGGCAGCTGTGGGCCTGCCACCACTTTGATGCTTTTCAATTGGTGCTTGAGTCAGTGCCTTGAGCGGCTTGCTTTCGCTTTGACCTGCATGTACCTCGGCGCAGTCGCACACTTTTCTGCCAGCTGACTCGATGTCTGTGTCGTGTTGTTGATCATTTCACAGGGCGTGCCGTAAGATTCTCACCACAACCCTTCCAGGGCCCGCACCAGGAATGGCTTGCAACCACAATCTGGTTACACACACGTCTTGCCTAGCAGCGCACCCCTGCTTCCACTGAATGCATTTGCACGGCACTCTGAAGCCAGGCGAGAATGAACCTCACGTAGGGGTTGATCCAGAGGTCCTTTACATGGGATGACCATTGGGGGACACCGCTAAAACAGGTATTTGTTCCACTTCGTGGGACAAGTTACCCATGGTCTTTTGGGGGCCAGGAATATTGATCAACCCCACATGGCAAACATGACGAAAGCGGCATTGCCGCAGGATGCAGCACCCGCCGTGCACAGGTGGTCAGTCACAAGACTCGAATTGACAATGCCATAAGTTGCTTGAAGGGTTCCAAGGAAGCTGTGCAGAAAATGGCGAGGCACTTGTTGGTCCGGCTTGGGACTGGTCTGACCAACTGCGAATCTGTGCACATCCTTCCAAACGCTTGAGCCAAGAAGCTGCCAGCAAAAACCATGAAGCGAACGTGAAACGCCAGTGCAATGGCAAGCGCTGCAAGTTTCGGATCTGTTTCGCTGCACGCCGGAATTCACAAATTCGACTTTTTCAGTGACACGAGCCGTTGCTCATCGCCATGCCGTGGGTTGCAGGCGTATTTGAGCAGTGCTACCACCAGTGCACGAGCAAGTGCAAAGCCGCCAATTTGCGTCATCTCCTGGGTCTGGAGAATGGCACAACCCTGCCCTATCCCAATGCCTGCTTCTATGCTCGACATAACGAGCTTAGCGTGGGGCTGGAGTCCCAGCAAACCCGAGTCAATCAAGATCTTGACCTGATCGCATTGATGGGGTTGATGACCCACCCCAAGCAACGGGAAGCGAGCAACAGGAAGCGAGCCCGCTCGGCCTTGTGGAAAAGGTGCGGCCGTTGCTGGCAGAGTTCCTCAGGCGGCCACAGAAATGCGGACTTCAGAAAGCACACACACACACACATTTCCTTGGCAAAGTCCTTACAACGGCCTGGCTCAAAATGAGCGATCCAGCGCAGGTTTGATGCTTCCCTTGAAGAACAGGGCTGTCGCCTTGTCTCCTTTGACCGGCCGCCAGCGCAGCCACACCAGGGCTCCAGGCGTGCATCTCCAGCGGTTTGCCCGCGTAGAGCTCTCCGATCAGCTTCTGGACCTCCGGGTCCTGATGGATCTGAGGGATTCCAAGCAGGAGTTGGACGGCTTGACAATCGACATGACTCTTTTTGGGGGCAATGACACAAACAAAAGGGTCCAACAGAGCCCCCCCGAATATATATCAATATCAATAATATATATATATATATATATATTAATATATCGGATATGCAAATCTTTCGCAGTTTTGGCCACGTCACGAGTCACAAGTTACACTGTTTCCTTTCCTTTCCAATGAAACCTCCTCGATCAAACAGGGGCTGACATTCTGTCTGAACACAGGGAGGGCCTTGGAGATTGGATGGTTGTGATGGATGGTTCTGAATCTGAACAGGAGGCCAAAATGAAAGGCTTCGAACATTTTGAGACGCATCAGTGCCATGATTGGAAGCTGGCATGGAATGTCAACTTCCCTTCAGAGCAAAGGATCCGAACAACTTGGCTATTCTTGCCGGCATTTCAGCTCACAGCTACACTTTGGTGAATTGAGAGCATGCGTTTGTCGAAAGCCAAACCCGCCGCACTGAGTCACCACACGTTAAACGCTGCTGCCACCTTTGGGTCGTCTGTGGGCAAAGCCTGCCAGCGACCACAATCGCCAACCACTGGCCTTTCGACTGGCCTGTGGCTGCACTGGCTGCACTGGCTGCACTGGCTGCACAGTTGCGGGTTGCACTGGCGCTGGCGACCTTGACCGCAAAACCACAGGTTGTCAACAGCAACCCTCTTGATTCTTTTCCCACGAATATGTCAAAAGTAGGCACCACCTTCTACAGATCAGTTCCTTCTAATTCCCAAGAGCACTTCCCGTCGTCGACACCTCGTATCCTGGACCTCTTTGCGCCCCACTTTGCAGTGTAGCCAGAGCCTTGCGGCTTCGGATTTGGGGCCTGGCATGCGCCAGAAAGCTGCATAGACGCGAAGCTTGTATGGCTTTCCCCTGACAAATCAGCGCTCTTGGTGGGGTTGCTCGTTCTTGCTTGGAGACACCTGCCGAACGTGGTGGGCTGGCTGTCCAAATACACCGGCCAAATTTCGTGTTTACACATGTCTGGACTGGAGGAACAGCCAAGCGTGCTTGCACGCCGGCTCGTTGATACACTCGCCAAGCATGCACTCAGCCAAACATGGGGTGCATGGCTTGAAACACCAGCCAGAAGGAGATCTCGGATGTCATCAAGCGCTTTACATGCAACAAGAGCCGCAGCACAAGAACGCCGCCCAAGAGCCTCTTTGCTCAAGACGTCAAAGTGCGTGGCCATGAGGGCGCTGAATTCCTGGGGGCTAGCAGCTTGAGAGATCAGCCCGTGGCTGTCATAGGCGACCTGGAGGAACTTTGTGACTTCCTCGTTGTTGGAATACCTACCAAAGTTGAGGCACGCAAAGCTTTAACCTGGCGCCCGGCGCCCCGGCCTTCGCTTGGCCTCGTCCGGGTTGGTCTGCATGAGAGCCATTGCCTGCGAGTCCCTCCGAAACGAACCAACCATCCACCACCCGCGGCACACGGCGCACTTGGCACCTCCTGAATCTTGGGATCTGACAACGCCTGGGCAACCAAGACCCGCAGCATTGAAGTCGCCACACTGAGTCCAGCATGAAACCGATGAGTGTAGGCAATGCACCTTCAATAGATCCGGTCGGGACTGCAAGGCTGTCATCAGCTGCGGTGTCACCCAGGACTGCAACACGGTCATTGATCACCACTGCAAGTTTAGCCGAAACCACCTGTCACATCTCTCATTTTCAGGGTATGGATGCCAGTTGCCTTGTCTTCTTTGAGCTTGTTCATGCCCTGCATGGCCTGTTGCACCTGTCGGCGATCAGTCCGAGAATGGCACGAATCTTCACATTCTGCATTTTGTGAAATACATCGAGGCTTAGGTGGAACCTCTAATTCGGCTTCGGATCTATCCTGGAGCATTGCTTTGTGCGCAGCTCTGGTAGCTCAACTTTGCCCAAATTTGTCCAGAGGAATTCAAGCAGGCTTCAACGACGTTTAGACAAGCCAAACTTGTCATGGTTCTGAGGGTATGTCTTGATCAACCTGTCGACACTGTCAAAAGAACCTATGTCCTTTACGTGATTATTTGTACATTGCATCAAGTGGGGCCTTGACCTGTCCAATCCGACTCTCCGACCAAAACGAGCAGCAAGGGCCGCTGCCTCTGGCATCTGTAAGCTCATCCTCTTTGCTTCCTGCGGCAAGGTGGTTCTCAGCTTCTCTGAAGCGCATCTCTTGGCCTCTTTGGAGCCAGCACCCGTTATGAAGGGCACCTGGCACGTGGTGTCAGCTTTCCTGCTTGGATCTGGCATGCCCATGCCTCTTTGGGCTCCTTTACCTCGCTTCCGCCTTCATCTTTGGCTTTCTCTTTGACTGCTGGCTTCTTCGGAGCCTGGTCAAGTTTCAGAACAGGGCGGAGACCCCGAGTTGTGCGGTGAGAATGCACCTGCTGAGCAGTTAGACCCGCTAGCTCAACATTGCCAAGTGTTGCCAAGGGTTGATTCGCCGCTCTCGCTTCGTATTGTTAATTCTCCAACACAGCACACTATAAGCTCAAGCCGCTACAAGGGAAAAAACCTGAAACGCTTGCGAAGGTAGGGTCAAGCAAGCAAGCCCTTGATGCCTTCGAGGAGAGGAAACCTTTCTTGAGGCCTCCGCCAAATCCATCAGCTTTTCTCCTGGCTTCCTCGGTTTCCTTTTTCTTCTGCTCTCTTGCGGCCAAAGCTCTTTGCATCATGGCGTCTGCCACCTCATTCCGCTCCTCAGGCTCCTGCTCCTGCTGCTGCGCATTTGCAACCTCCAGCGTATTTCTGCTGCGTGCTGCTTCCAGGGGCGGCGGCAAGTCGTCATCATCCATGCTGGCGGGCGGCGAGGAAATCAATGCCTGTCTATATTCTCTTCAAGTTCATGCTCTCTTTGTGGGCCAATGAGGTGATCGACGTAGACTCTGCACTGCAAGCAAAATGACTGATTTCGGGGCAAACAACTCTTCAGGGCCTCCTTTGCGAACAACTGCTGCTGGGTTCAGTCGAAGCGGGTGTCATGTTGCACTATGTGTGGGCCGATGTATCTCGTCTCCTACCTGGCCCATCGTGCGTAGCTGGGCCGTGAACTGAGTGTATGAAGTCGTGAAAACAGGCCAAAGCAAATTATGCCATTCTTCACAAACGCGCGCGCTCTCCGTTTCTGCCGCGACATGTTACACGCAGCAACTCCGCGACGTTCGTTAACGCGTCTCGGCTATAAAAAGCCGAGCGGGTAATCTTGTAAACAATTGACGCTGGGCGCCACTATGGACCAATTTGGGCCCCACTTCTTTTGACCTTTGCCTCACTCGTTCCCGTGCCAAATGAACTCCCTGGGTGGGCGCAAGTGCAAACTGGGTGTCGGGCCCCTTGCTGCAAACTGAGGCCAAGACCTGCTTAGTGCCAAAATAGACCGGCCTCGGAGGCATAGTTATCAACAATTACTACAAATAGGTTTAGGTGAATAATGGCCTGGCAATTATACAGACCAATGTTTTGCTTCCTGTGCATATCAGAACGACATGATGGATGGTAGTATGACCAAGTATGAAATGATGAGATGCAAAAGCTGAGCGAAAGGAGATGGTGTATGGGTAGGAAGTTCAAGAAACGGGCGAGGTGCCACACAGTGAACATACTCATGACCCTACTCCCAACAATATATCGGCGATGATCGTTGTCCTCACAGCTCATTGATCACCAAGACAAATACTACACAACCTGCTGGGGAGCGCATGTGCGCGCCCAAACACACAAGCAGCCACACAAACACAAACACACGCACACACACACACACACACACACACACACACACACACACACACACACACACACACACACACACACACACACACACACACACACACACACACACACACACACACACACACACACACACACACACACACACACACACACACACACACACACACACACACACACACACACACACACACACACACACACACACACACACACACACACACACACACACACACACACACACACACACACACACACACGCACACACACACGCACACATCCACACACACACAACACCCACACGTACTTAAAAAATGAACAAACGAAAACAGAGAAAACAAGACACACCATGACAAACAAACAAACAAACAAACAAACAAACAAACAAACAAACAAACAAACAAACAAACAAACAAACAAACAAACAAACAAACAAACAAACAAACACACACACACACACAACACAACAAACACCAACCAACCAACCAACCCAACCCAACCCAACCCAACCCAACCCAACCCAACCCAACCCAACCCAACCCAACCCAACCAACCAACCAACAAACCACCCAACCCAACCAACCCAACCCAACCCACCCAACCCACCCAACCCACCAACCCACCAACCCACCAACCCACCAACCCACCACCCCACCACCCCACCACCCCACCACCCCACCACACACAAACACACAAACACACACCAAGGCTGATCCATATCAAAGCAAAGCTACACGTCAAGGACACTGTAGCAGGGCTCGCACCGATGGCTTGTGCAATTTGCTTGCCGTGTTCTGGTTTTACCCCGTCTTTGATCACTTCACGCTATGACGGCAGGGAATCCCATCTAACCTGTTGGTCTGGAAGCGTGGACTCATGCTCAGGCTGCGCACAGCTGAGGCGTGTTTGCTTGGGTGGAGTGAGTGACAATGTTGCCACCCGAAGAACAGTTCCAAAAAAGGCCCGCAACACGGTCGCTGAGAGCTGCCTGGTGCAGCTTGTCATAGATGACAGGCAGCATCGCCGTGGCGTTGAGCTCCACCTGTGATCCATTCCGTGGCTTGGGCCTGACTTTGCGGAAGAAAACCTCAGGACGCCTAGGAGGCCTACGAAGCTTCCTGCATTTGCCTCGGCGGTGATCTCCGCAGCTGCTGACGCATCGTCGAGCTCCAGGTGCAAACGCTGGCGCACCTCGAATTCAAACGGGCCCTTTGCAAAGCTCAGCTGATGCTCTCAGCTGCAAGCCGTATGAATGGCACGTTCCGCATCATACCGGAGGGGAGTCACCCCAGCCCTGGCCGCCAGCCAGATCAAACATCAACTTCCAGTTTGCTGGCGGACCCTCCCGCACTGGAGGCCAGTGAGAGGAGTGCCGTCCACAACCGCGCAGTGCGGCGGATCAATGTGAAGGCCTCAGGTTATTCATCGACTCCCCAAAAAAACTGAGTCGCCACTCACGGAGTCGTCACCTAGGTCCTCCAGTAGAGAGGTTAGAAGGGTACCTTTTTTTGTAGTCCACTTTAGCAGGAGCGTTCCCCCCCAAAAAAGAAACGGTAAAAGGGCGCTGGGGGACCTAGTCACACTGCGCCTCCCGGAGCAGCTCCCGAAACCGGTCGTAGCGCCCGGATGCCCTGGACATCGGGCCAGACTTCGGGGGCTCGTTGGGCGCTTCTCGCGATCGCTGGGAGCGAGCGGAAGGCCTCAGCACCTCCAGCACTTCGCGGGGGACCTCAGCGCAAGAAAACCCTGCGCCTGTTCTGAGGCTTCTGTCAACACGGAAGCATCGACCAAAAGGGTTTTCACTTTTTGACTACACCAGGGTCGACTTAAACCCAGGTGGTTCATTCTCCCCCAGAAGGAGAACGCCTGGGTTTGAGTCTTTCTTGGGGTAGTCAAAAAGTGGAAGTCTGTCGACTACCCTGGCTTGGGCGAGAGCTCGCACAGACGGAGATCCAGGCTTGGGGTCGTCGCCGAGAACAAAGCCAAAGTCAATGTGGAAGAAATGCCCATCCTGCAGCAACAACCAGGACACAAAGCACCTCAAGCCTCAAACCCAGGCCTCCGTGATCATGATGTTGTCCAAATGGCGATCCCCAATTCCCAGCACGTATGTTGCAATGCAATACCTCGCCACAACAAACATTCCTCTCTTCATCTCCCCATTGTGGGCTCATGCAAACTGTGAGCCTCCCCAACTTTCCCATTCTTGCTGAAGTTCCTCTAATGGGAAACTTGCTCCCAAAAGCGTCAGAGTGGGCAGCTCTGATCAAAAAACACCACCTAAGAGCACCAATTGCCGGCGATGCAGCTGAGTTTAACACCCTGCAGTGCTGCCGCACAAGCGGTCGTAAGCCGCAGAAACAGCTCCTGCGCCTCAGGAATGGCGAGCATGGCAAAGGGACGCAATGGAGGATCACGGAGTTTTGCTTCCCTCAAAACGATTATCCGGGCTTCTGTGCCTTCCGCTGAAGTTGCTTCTTACCTTCTCATTGAGCACCGCAGACGAGCGCATACTCAGGCCGCCGAGCAGTGTTGCTTGATAAAATTGCTGATGTCACCATCGAACTCCTGGCGTGGGTTGCTGTGGACTGCTTCATTACACAAAACTACGACATGTTATTATCACATATTTTGAGTTGTGGGGGTTCAACAATCTTGATCTGACCTGCAGCTCCGGCCTCCAGGATACTTGACACATTTTTTGCACGTGGCACGAATGCAGCCATTCCCTCCTGACAGTTGCTCTGATGCACAGGCGGCCAAGAACCTAATCATGCCCGCCCATGTCCATCAAGCTAAATCGACCAGTCCTTTGGGGAAAGCGCAAGCACGTTGTATGGCAGCAATGAGACCTAACAACATCTCTGAATCACTAACTACTGCAATGCGATTTGGCGCGCCTCTTTGAGTCCATGCTCAGCCCAAGCAGCTTCCTTGCGTGAAGCTCTCTGAGTCACGCACCGGGACTCAGTCTTAGCTTGACACCATGATACGGAAGATCTGAAGCACAAGGGCATCCTCAGTATGCGAAGCTTGCTGAGCTGCTGCGGTGCTTGCGTGCTCTTTCCTGGGCTGGAACAAAACCCTTTGCCTCGCATGCCTCAGCATAAGAAACATCATCGTGAGGCTTCCTGGAAAGGTCGTGCGGGCATTTTTTGGACAAAACCAAAACCCGTCTCAGGCATCTCTCTTTTCGCATGGCCACAGCCCATATCTGTTCAATCAACTGTTGACAAGACGCCCAATAAGACTGCATGGCTACATCGTTTCCAAGGCCCTATGGGCAGAGACAAATGGCTCATTGTGACCAAAGGGTTTCAAACAAAGTTTGTGCAAGGAAACCAACCCCTGAGCTAGAGGTGGCTTCCTTTCGGCATTTTCTTTTGACACATTGCTTCCGAGAAAAAAAAAGAAAGAAAAAAAACACCGGGCGCCCCACCTGGCGCAGGTCATCACCCTTCTTCATGGCATAGAGTCGACTGGCCCCGTGAGCGTCTTGGAAGGCGAAGACCACCTAGACTTTGTTTTTCACAGAGCCGTCTGGACAGTCACACGTGCGCACACACAAAGACAACTGCGCCAAACAAACAAACAAACAAACAAGCAAACAAACAAACACAGCAAAAAAACAACAACAAACCAAAACAAAACAAAACACAACCCAGCACAAACACGAACACACCCCGACACTCCCGCACCCATATACTTATATATATATATATATAATATACATTCACCTATATACCCATATTTACTCACCCACGCACGACATGTAGGCCCGGAGTGCTTGATTCAGGTACCTTAGCAAAATGATCCTGAACGCCCAACCCGACCTTTGCTGTAAGCAAGCTGGACGATGGAACCTTGTGCCAAAGCTGCCCGCTGAGACATTTTGGGCGTTGCTCACGAGCAAACTCTGTACTCTTTATGGCAGGTCTTCAGGAGCAAGCTCGAATCGTGTTGAATTGATGCCGTGCCATTTGAGGGCAGGGGAAGCACCAATGTTTGCAGTCACACATGTGGTGAACATCTAGCATGTGGCAGCTGATTGCTGATTTTGGGCCGGGCAACTCAGCCCGCTTGAGTTCATGGCCTTCGGAACGAGAGAGGTGCAAGTACATGTGCCAGAAGCTACTTCATGGAACCATCACACAGTTGGGTATCAAAATCCGCCGACCCTCTGCCTCCCGTCCCAGCCTCCTGCAGAGGGGACCGGCGTGGGATGCAACTGGAAGTGATTGGAATCAATGATGGTTTCTGGGGACACGCCCGAACGCACGAAAAGTGGATTTCCAGGACCGGTCCCGGGACCGGTCCCGGGACCGGTCGTGGGACCAGTCCTGGGACTTCTGTTGTTTCAGATTACTTGTAGTCAGCCAAAACCGGTCCTGGGACCAGTCCCAGGACCGGGTTTGACCGGCAGTGCTGGGACTGAGGACCGCTTTCAGGACTGAAGCCGGTCCCGGATCGAGTCCTGATCGTTGGCACTTCAAACTGCTGTGATGCCACCTCAAACCGCTCCAGACACCTTTCCGGACTGGCACCCGTGTTTCAGGACACTGGACAGGGTCCCAGGTCCCAGTCACTTTTTGCGGGCACCGACGGCCTTGTTTCTAGGACCAGCTCAACGTGACTTGGGCACAAACCGGCCCGTGCGGTTATTGATGGACGAGCTGCCATCTGTCTGACTTTTCCGTTAATCCTTGTGGTAGTAGAGGATCCCTGGATCTATTCTGCAAGAGAGTCCAACACGTCGAGTCAAACCGCGCCAGACTGGGACCAGCCTGGACAGGGTCCCAACCCCTGCCGGTGACCGGTCCAGGGCAACTTCGGGAGGGCCAGTTTCAGGGCGACCCCGGGAGAGGCGACTGCTCCCGGCCCAACTCGAAGTGACTTGGGCGCAAGCCGGCCCAAGCGGTAATTAACGGACTGGCTGCCATATTTCTGATTTTTCCGTTAATCCTTCTTTGTGGTCTCGTAGAGGGTCTTATAAGTGGTCCCTGGGTTTGCGGACGTGTTTCAGGACCGGTCCTTGTGACTTTTCCCTTAATGCGCCGAGGGTCGGCGGCAGCAGGCGGGAGCCTGGTTAATAAGAAACACCCCTTCAATCAGTTTGCTTGCATTTGCAGACCCTCTAAACCAACAATTGAAAGGAACCCTCAAACAAAGAGACACCATGAGACACCCAGCTCATTAATATGCAAAAGGCCAATGTGGCACGCCCCATAGGCGCCACTTGTATTTTCCATCCGAGCAACATGCCTTTGGGGCAAGAATAGCCAAGGCAACACAACATTTACCCTCCCACCAATCCACATCGAACCTGACGTTCGGGGGTCCTTTCGGACCATTTTCCTTTCAAAGGGACCTCCGGTCAGGTTCCATGTTAATTGGTGGAAGGGTATTTGAAATGGATGCCTCATGCCGAAGTCAAATTTCATCCGCTGCAAAGTTTGAAAGGCTCAGCATGTGGCTGGAGCCACCGCCGAATTCGCCACGAAGCACCTCCAGCGCGCGTTGCGTGCGATTGTGATGCGGGCTGCTTAGTCATTCCACGGCCGGGAAACCAATTTGTCTGGCAGGCTGCGCCCTGCCCTGAGGCAGGCGCTTTTTGCAACTCAAAGCTCCCAGAGGCTGTGCAGGATCAACTGGAAGCGGGGTCCCAGCATTCATCAAGGTTAGCTCCTGCAAATCCAAGAGTCATCTTACTCTTGACATTGCATTTCTGGCAACAACTCCTGATTTCCAAACGTCTGCAAACTAGGATCTGCTTTCCACTCCTGGCGGAAGTATGTTGCTCTTGGTGAGCAATCAAACTCACATGAACCTGTGCCTCAAAAACATGTACCAAACAATGTTACCTTGGTAAATGGAACCAAAACTAAAACCCGCATAACCCTCGCGGTTTCATTTTGAGCCACGCCCACATGAACCTCCCATGCGGGAAAAAAACGAGACAAAAACAAAAACAACACACAAAAAACAAACAAACAACGAGAAAGAAGAAAGCAACTGGTGCCTCCCGGATGAGATCCACCTTTGCTTTCTTGTTCTTGCCGCTGAAGCAGCATCTACACCTGAAATGTAGCACCGTCGGATACCGTTGGACTTGCGATGGCCACTTCACCCAATTTCGCCATACCAAGTGGGTCTCTGTCTTTTTTTCAGGGTACAACAATTTTGGGGGTCCCCTTACAAAAGACATACCCAATTAGAACCAAGGGCACTGCCTGGAACAGCAGCTGGACGGCTGCTGCTCATCCGTCCGCGAGTAGTCTTGGGAAGGCTGCCTGGTAGCGAAGCGGCGCTTGCCGCTGGAATCAGAGTGATCTTCTCGCCTCATCATGTTGAAGCTGCTGACCGAGATTGACCTCTCCTCGGCTGAACAGCAAGGCCCATTCAAATCTCATCTGCGCCCCCAAAAAAACAACCAGGCGAAACAAGAACTCAGCACACCCTCAGGTGCAGTAGCTAGCCAAGCATCTCTGGCACATGGAGCGGTGTCAGCTTCACAGTCTTCACGAACTGTGACTTCTTCGACAAAAATGACCCTTGGCTCTGGAACATGCTGCACTCCTTCTACACATGCCCGCCCATTGATGGCACGTCTACCAACCGCCAGCCCCGTCAAGTGTTACTGGATTTCCTGGATTCACGGACTAACCCTGGAGTCACTCTTTCCCGACTTCACTCTGAGAGATGAGCTGCTTTTTGCGCCTCATCTCCTTGGATGAAGCTGCGCCGTCTGCACATGCACCTCTTTCCCACCTCCAAGGACTCCGATCGGGATCTCGATGCTCTTGTGCTGGACCTGCGCTGGCCATTTGCTTTGCCCAAGTCTTGGCGATGTTTCGCGCCTGCCGGTCTCTGTCTCTGCAGAAGCCGACGACTCGACCTGCACTTCCTCCAGCTCGGCCTTGGATCCACAACGACACCGAGTGTTTTGCCAGAATCGATGTGAGTCACAATCAAAGCCCGGTATTAAAATGGTCGACCCAGAACCATGCTTCAAGAATTAAGAAGGCGGATATCCGCAGCTATTTATGGTTGGGATTGTCCCTTACTAACCTTCATCTACCCGGGGTTTCGATTGTGGCTCATGTGAGATCCCCGACCGTGGTGGTGGCAGGGCTGGGCGGTGTTTCGGGCGTGCTCGCCTGCACAGCTGCAGGGGGAAGCAAAAGAACTGCTGGCTACCAATGCCTCAAAAGCACAAGGCCGCTGCCAGTTTCGTACATGTGAGGTCCCTACTAGAGAGATGCTGTGGATCATTAATTGCTTCTCGTCAAGGGAAGACGATGGTTGCAGGTGTATGCAAATTAATTGATGCAACGTGGATACATGAGCTTGTATCGACAACTCCTGCATGATTGGGCTCAGTTGTTCCACGGCATGCTTCTAACGAGGTTTCCAAGCTTCACCTCGATGGTGTAGCCTCTGATGTCACGCACTTCAACCAGGAAAC